TACATAAGTTATATAAAATTTAAAATATGTTTCAAATAGTATTAAAAGCTTTCATTCATTTGTCTAAGTCAAAAACTAAGTACGATTATTATTTTCATTGCATATTTTGATAAGAATGTAACTTAGTTTTTGTTTAAACAAAAGATAGAAATTTTTTTAACAAATTATTTTCTGCTGAGAAATTTCGTTTATAAAATTGCATGAACACATGACTGAACTTAAAAAAAAAAAAAAACGACATATACACATAAATAGTCATATTCATTTTCATCATCTATCTGCTGTAATAATATATGCGAATAATCGCAAATAATCTTAATGATATATGCATAATCATCGTTATCATCATTTTCTTCATTTTGTATTATAATCATGTAGACAAATGTTCAGTAATAGATAGCTGTAACATATAATTAAAAATTCAAATTAATAAGAAGTGCCGAAATAGTTTCATTTTTGATATTTTTAGTAACTGTAATATGTTTAAATTTCTTCTGCAGCCTATAAGAAAAATTGACACGCTGTGCATTATTTTATTATCTAAAATAACGATATTGAAAAGCAAGATTTAAGAAATTTTAATGAGGCACAGATTCTGAGAGTAAAACTAGATTGCTCCAATTAATTATAAGGACAATTAAATCATTTACTGCCATTTAACATTTAAATGATTACAACATAGCTATAGTATTGATACTAGTGTTATCTGTGTACATGTAACATTTCCAAGTGTGCACAATATATTTCAGATTATCATAATTTTAATACATATCGTAATTGAAATCAAATAACAAACTATGTTGAATCACTTTGTAGATTATAAATAAATGTTATTAGAATAAAGCAACCAAAAACAGAGTTCACATGTAACACGAGAATTGTACAGGTTTTGTGAGATCTAGTTTTTATCATCAAAGTTTCTGTGTCAAATATGATCATTGGGGTATTCATTTTTGTACCTTACACGTGCGTGTCTCTATTCACGAATAATAGGTCGCAAAGAAGTATATCTTAAATAATAAATGTTTTAGCTGAATGTAAACCATCGCAAATGGACAGTAAATTTGCCACTTGTAAATGGAAAGAAAAACAATATAATTTACAATTTAACCCATATTGGGATTAAATTAATGTCATATATATATATTGTTATTATATATAATGGTAGTAAGTAGGTACAGTAATTATTTATATAAGGACAATGCAGAATTTAATCATAAAACAAATGCATTGCTTCAAATGTACCTATATGTGTATCTCCTTGTAAAATATCAGCATTAGTGCGCATTATTAGGCATTATCAATTATAATAAGCATATTTTTTACATTGTCTTATTGTACTCAGTTTATCCACCCTGATCACATATCCTTAAAGTGTTCTTCTTGAACATATGTGTCTGTGTTTAATAATACTTTGTGATAAAAAAAATTACCAGTATTCTTGTCTATACGTTTTTTCCAATGATTGTTATGAGTAATTTTAAATAGTTTCTCATATTTTGTATAAATTGTTAACAATTTTTTTTTAAATAGTTAATACGAATTCTTTATACTTCTATATTTCTTATTATTTACAGTGTAATACTAAATAGAAAACAATTACAATATTGTTTGAAACAGATCTTTCAACAAATCAAATATAGACACATATATTCAATTATTTAATTGTTATTAATTCTTCTCAACATTAAGTAATTACACAGAAAATAAAACGGTCTTGAAACAGCAATCAATAATTGGTTTGTGTTCTATTTATTTTACTTTAGTTTGAAGAATATATTCAATAAATATATTTTCATGTCTTCTTTTTTTAATCGCAAGTTTTATGCCATTAGAGCCATTATAGTATTTATATTTGTACATGGTATGTACTCATCTAGTACATGTTTTCAGACTCTATTATATTATATTTGACATTCTATTATATATACAGATCTAAATAGAATAATCTTTTCATATGATTATTTTTCGAACTATGTATTCGTTATTCGAAGAAACGTTTTAAGTAAAATTTACTCTGTTTCGAGGGTGTGGTCTTAGGATAGGCACACATTTTTTCTAGATGAAGGTGATCCTAAAATTTCAAGGTGACCTTTATTTTTTTAAATGGAACATTATCTTTTTTTCCGTTGGACGTGTATTTAGAATGAGGCTACGCACTTGCTCTTACGTCTTTGCTGATAGTCCTCCAATCACGGTAGAAGGAAGGATTGAGAGTATCATCGAGGGCATCGTCAGAAATGAAGTATTGTCAGGTTAGTTGATTTTTAAAATAAAAATTCTTTGAATTTTTTGCTATTAATAATAGTTATTGTAAATTAGAGCATAATTGTATGTAGTAAGCAGTTTAAAACTGATACTTATAATACATTTCTAATTGCTTTAACATTACTAATAATGTAGATAGTAAAAGAAAGTTACTGGTTTATTTTTAAGTACTTTAATTATAGAATAATTAGTGTTTTTTGGTTAATAACGTTGTAGATGGTAGTTTATAATTATTAGAAGTATTATGTGAATTACAGATGGAACTTTCATGCTACCACATAAATCAAGGAAAGGACTTGAAAAATGAAGAAATGCAATTATTTATCAAAAAATCAATTATTTATTATAACTACGCAAAATGTATTTTAAAAAAGGTTTTGTTTTAGTATTGTTTTCAGCATTTTACAGTCTATTTATTTCTCCTTTAAATACCACATCCACTTCCTTTTACAAAAAATTCATTGCTTAAACGATATTCTATTATAAAATTAAATAAACCAAGTCCGGACAGTGTTATCAATGCGTAAAAATCACGAAATTCTAACGAAAAATTACGAAACTTGCGCGAAAATAGCTTGCTGATGTCAAGGGTCTGAGAAATGGTTGATACACACTACTTCAATTTCGAAAAATTTGCGCGACTGACAAATGTAAAAGCTTAACATAACTGTACAAAATGTATTTTACAGAAGACTACAATGTACTAGTATTGTTTTATAGCATTTTACATTCCATTCTTTTTTCCCTTACACACCACATCCATTTCCTATTGCGAAATACTCATGCTTTAAATAATATTCCATTACAAAATTAAATAAACTAAGTCCGCACATCGTTAGGAACGCGTAATAATCGAAAAAATCACGTAATTTAACCTAATGCATACATGTATTACTTACGGAATTCTATACTTTGCGTACAAGTATATGATATCCTGTACGTCGTCTGTGGCGTTAGGTCTATCCTGCATATACTCCGTGTGTAATTCTAAGTTATTGAAACTTCATAATTTTTTTTATTTTTTTTTTATTGCAATGTGTAGTAGGGAATTTGTTAATTTGAAAATAATTATTAATTTTTTTTTAATTTTTATTGGAAGATGGTGATGTACCATCAGTAGTTGCGCTTACCACGAAGGGTAACTCGTCGAGGTATTTAGCAGTACACAAACGAGTTAGACAAGGAAAGAAATAGGAGTAGACAAGGATAACAATAGTATCACGTGTTAGACAAGGAGAGATATATGGATAGACAAGGATAGAAAATTTTTCAGATCGAGAGTAACGCCATCTCGTGTTTGGATCCACGAAATGACGACTCGTTACGCGGGTCACAGAATGTGAACAGAGGTATTAGACAAGGAAAGCACTAGTGTGCGACAAGGACAGAGAGATAGACGTTTCCTATTGGCTGCCGGACTCCTCATCTCCACCTCCCACGGGTTAAATCCGTCGACCAGGCAAGAATCATTAATAACTCAATAATTACGATGATTCTGTGAACTTTTAGAATTGAAGAATGAAGTACGGACCTTCATCAACTTTCTCATATAGTTTGTATTATTCTAGACCCTCTCAATAATTAGTTATTAGCAATTTTAGTACGTGATGTCGGGAACGATACCGCATACCGTGAGGTATCTTTCCGGTTTTTCAATAATTTCACAGCTTTCTACTAAATTCCCATGCAACTAACTCTATGCGTTTGAAAGGCAACTCCTTCAGCTAAATTCTTTTGCAATTTTTATTAACATATTCGGTTTAGTTTAGGAATTATTGAACATTATACAGGAGAGTCTCTTATTCGTCGTACTCGAGTATAGTCAACTCTTGTAAACAATTGCTAATATCTCATAAAACACATCACGTATGCACTTAAAAATGATTGGAGAATATAGGCAAAGGTCTGTACTACATTCTTCATGCTTGAAAGTGCAAAATTAATCATGCATATTCGTGAAAATGACGGAAATTCGTTAGACGAAATGCGACGAGTGCAGTATTCACCCAAATAATGTTTAATAATTCTTAAACTACAAGGGTTATGTTAATAAAAGTTATAAAAGAATTTAGCTAGAGGAGTTGCCTTTCAGATACGTATAGATAGTTGCATGGGAATTGAGTAGAAAGCTACGAAATTATTGAAAAACCGGAAAGATACTTAACCGTAAGCGGTAACGTCCCAACATCACGTACTAAAATTGTTAATAACTAATTATCGAAAAGGGCTGGAACATTAAAATTTATATGGGAAAGTTGCTAAGGGTCCGCACTTCATTCTTCAACTCTAAAAGTTCACAAATTCATCGTAAATAATGAGTTATTAAATATTATTGGATGAGAACTACACTCGTCGCTTTAGAGCCTAACGGATTTTCATCGTTTTCACGAAAATGCATGATTAATTTTGCACTTTAAAGCATGTAGAATGTAGAACGGAATTTTCTTTATATTCTGCAATTAGTTTGGTAACCGTCGGTACTGTGGTTTTTTAGATATTAGCAATTGTTTATAACAGTCGACTCTACTCGAGTACGACGAATAGGAGACGCTCCCGTATAATGTTTAATAGCTCCTACAATAAACCGAATATGTTAATAAAAATTGTAAAAGAATTTAGCTAGAGGAGTTGCCTTTCAGATCCGTATAGATAGTTGCATGGGAATTTAGTAGAAAGCTATGAAATTATTGAAAAACCGGAAAGATACCTCACGGTATGCGGTATCGTTCCCGACATCCCGTACTAAAATTGTTAATAACTAATTATTGAGAGGGTCTAGAACAATAAAAACTATATGGGAAAGTTGCTAAAGGTCCATACTTCATTCTTTAATTCTAAAAGTTCACAGAATCATCCTAATTATTGAGTTATTAATGATTTTTGCCTGGGCGACTGATTTAGCCCGTGGGAGGTGGAGCTTAGGAGCCCGCCAGCCAATAGGAAACGTTTATCTCTCTGTCCTTGTCGCACACTAGTGCTTTCCTTGTCTAATACCTTTGTTCACATTCTGTGTCCCGCGTAACGAGTCGTCAGTTCGTGGATCCAAACACGAGATGGCGTTATTCTCGATCTGTAAAATTTTCTATCCTTGTCTAACCCTATATCTTTCCTTGTCTAACCCTATATCTTTCCTTGTCTAACTCATTGCTCTAATGCTATCCTTATCTACCGCTATTTCTTTCCTTGTCTAACTCGTTTCTCTAGTGTTATCCTTGTCTATCCGTAACTAAGCTTTCATTTCTTTTACTATAAAAAACCTTGTGCATATGATATGTATATTATATTTTAATCAAATTGTTTCAATTGGTATTGCTTTTATTAACATTTGTAAAGGATACATAGTTGATATTTAAAAAAAATATATTTTACAAAAAATAGAAAGAGAACCAAAAATGTTTCTGTTAAGATTCATATTTAAAAAGTGATAGTACATATTTTTAGATGTATTTGCTTATAGTTTACGAAGTATTCCTAAGAAAATGGTTACTCTAACGTTGTTACTACCGAATATGTGTCTGTTTCTTTAAGTCCCTGTCGTTTAAGTTCTCTAATAAACCATTTCTTTCTTCCCTGTTTACGAACAGTTTTATAGCCTCTTGGTGAAATGTCAATTGCTTTCATCAAAAAGTCTTGAGTTAATTCAAATTTGGTTTGGAATGACGGAAGTCTCCGAAGTTTTATAGGTATTTGCTACAACATTAGGCACAAAAATGTTATATTAATGTTTAAGAATAAGTACATGTATTTGAAATAGATTTAGAAAAACTTACTATATCTTGCAATGTATCTTTAGTACTTTTTCTTCTTTCATATTTTCTTCTTTCAGATAATTGTAGTATATCATCATCTTCTTCTTCTTTTTCAAGGGGCATTAGCATTATATCATAATTAGCTCTATTTTCTCCTAGAATTCCTATTTTTATTCCTAATTCATGTAATTTGTCTTCCTCAACAAGAAGAGCATTTTGTAAGAAACAAATTCGTTCATCATGTGAATCATCTTCTATTCCTGTAGACTATATGCATTATTTTCTTTCCTTAAAAAGAGGTATATAAAAATCAGCAACACACCTAAAGATAAGAGACGATAATCACAATCTGAATATATCAAATCTTGTATTAAAGGAGAATTTCTCAATAATTTTCTTTTTTCTTGATTCTTTTGACCTTGTAACACTAGAATGTCATTAATTAACATATCTTGAATAATTTGACTGGTGTGTAGTCTTTCTGCTGTGTTATATGCATCAGTTCTAAATAATCTATGTAATTCTATTTCTACAAAGAATAATCTACTTTTTATTTAAATGTAATTTTTGTTTATTATGTTATTTATTTGATTACAAAATTAACTTACCAATCAAATAAAAATATTTGCGTTCTAAAGCTATCCAAACAATACGATGTGCCATACAAATTAGCACTTCAAACATTCTTAAATCTTTTTCTCCTTGTGATTGTGACAAAGACTCTCCTTTTTTTCCACCAGTCATGTGGTGATATAGAATACTATCCTGACAACCTATTATTAAATCAGCATATTCTCTACCTAAGATAAAGCGAAGATTTAGCATTTCTTCTGTAAATCTAGATCTATGACCTTGAGCTAAAGGATTTGGTGCCTTTTTCATGGTAGCAGCTCGTTCATTCATTAAATCTTCCCATGTCATAACATAATATTGAAAATAAATTATTGTAGCTCTTAAAAAGCGATCAACTATTGGTAAATGAAAGAAGTTCACAAATTGAGGGCTTATAGGACTGATTAACAAAAACATTACAAGATCTTTTATGTCTTGTAAAATAATGACATCTGGTTCATTTGGAGGTACTTTCCTCAAATAATACTTTCTAAATTTTAGCTAAAATAATATATATTTCAATAACAAAGAATTTTATATACATTTCAACAACAAAGACTTACCTGCTCACGTTGACTTAAGGTTTCATGAAAATTTAAAATTAAGTATGCATGTGGACAAAACACATTTGATTGATGAACAGGATCAGACCTTTGTTTAATCTTTTTAACATGTTCATCTTCCGTTTTTTGCGTACTTGTATTTCAATGTAATAAATAAAAATTTGAAATATTATTTGTATAAAAATATAAATAATTTGAAATGTAATTTTAATTGTTTTTTACCTTAATAAAATTAATCCATCCGAAATTTCGTCCCATGCAAAATATTTATCTTCCATTTTTGAATATCAAAATAACGAAGTGTCATACATTCCATTTAAAATTGAGAAACTAATAAAAAATCAGGTTAACTAATTGTAAACTTGAAAGCAAATCATGATTAAATGTGTATAGTTTAATTATTGATTATAGTACATGTATGTATGCGTGATTGACAGAATAAATATGTATTGGAAAATAATGTTTGTGTCGTTATATGTTTATTTAATAATAGATTGAACTATTAGAACTACTTTATTTGATAATATATTTGAACTACGTTTATTTTAAACTTTATGTATAAAATTTTCGTAAAAATTACTTAAAAACAAGTGCAAGAAATTTTATTATTCTTTTCAAATTAGTCTTTATTTATGGCTGTACATTTATTTTTTATAATACTATAAGCATCATTCTAGGTCTTCTGTGTTTTCTTCAGTTTCATCCCTAATTTCTTTATTAGCTAAACGATGTCTGGGAAGGGAATTTAAAATTTCTTGATCTTCTGGAAAAATTGCTCTACTTGCAAATTGATAATATGGCGTATCATATATAATTTCTCTTTCTGGATCAGAAGTATACTGATGTATTTTACATCTGACTTTAACTTTTTCATGATCATTAATTTTGACAGTCACATAAAATTCTCTATTTTCTATAGATATATCAGGTCCAGATATAGCCTTTTCTGGAAGAATTATTGCATTTTCAGGTACAATCAAACCCTGCATACGAAAGCATACTCTTAGATGCCATTTTTCTATAGTCCATGGTACATCTAAGGACATTCTTAGTCTTAAATAACACTGAGATAATACACATATTGTTCTTTCTACAAATTGAGAACTGTAAGCGCATAACTTTTTCCTATCCTCTATATCCTGAATTAAATACTTTTCAATATTTTCTGGAGTTGCATATACAGCCAATTTTGGCAATATGAATTTTTCATAAGCTTTCACTGAAGGTAATGTAATCTTTTGACCCATTTCACCAACATCTTTTACAGCATTTAGTAAAATTACATCAATTTCTTTTTGTTTTTTGTTATTTGTATTTTCTACAAATTCATAAATGAAATGTTTATGTTTCAACTTTGCTCTTGTCTCATATTTTTTATAAAGGGGAGGTACATATTTTCTTTTTAAGATAAATGTATTCTATAATAAAAAATAACAATTGTTTACTAATAGCATATAATTTGAAATGAATGTTGTTAAGTTATCTATATTCACGTTTTGTAGACTTAATAATAAAGTATTACCCTGCTCTGTTGTATTAGTACATTAGTTTGATTGGAAAGAAAAGTTGATTGTGGTTTTAAATAATTTATACATAGCTGCGTACACTTCAACATATTTAGTTGTTTAGTAAATATAACTGCAAAACACCATGCCCCACGAAATGATTTTAAAGTAGAGTGAAGTTGGTACAGGTTAGAATACGTATAACCTGAAGTTGTAATTGAAGTTAACCTAACTTGTCAATTTTAGTAAAGAACTTTAGATTCATTATTAAATGATTATTTTATTTTCATTGCGAAAAAATATGTTTATTTATACACATATAATGTCAAAAATGTGTAAATGTATAATGTTTTAATAATAGTATATAAATTCGAATTTATGCTTTAGAGTATGACAACTTGTAACTTAGTTGAATTATATTTACTTAATTGGAAAGAATAAATAATTTGTAATAATGGAAAAGCTGAATTCACCATCTGACGAAGTTTTATCTCACGCTATAATGGAAATGAACGAGCCAGTAATATTTCAACATATGTTAAAAAATGAACAAGGTGAATATATTTGGAAATTATTTGAATGGAATATATCCGAACTTGCTGAAAAATTTGGGGATGTTAAATTACCATTTCGAGTTGGCTATAATGCTAGATCTATGGTAAATTGTTACTATTTAGTCATTTTCTTTCTTTTATGTGTATTATGAACATTATAATAAGTTGTAAATTTTCAAATTTTTCAGGGTCCACAATGGGAGGTAAATTGTTCAACAGTTTTGATGACACTATCAGAGTTTATACAACATATAGACCAGCATGAAAATGATAAAAAATGGTACTACTTTGATTATAAGTACATGCAAGAATGGTTCAAAAATAAATTAGAAATAATAAATTCAGTAAATTGGAAAAGATTTGGTATTGATAAAACTGGAAATGATTCTACTGTTTGGATTGGAAGTAAAGGTGCTCACACAAATTGTCATCAAGATTCTTATGGTTGTAACTTAGTAGCTCAGATTCATGGAAGGTTAATAATACTTAAAGTAATTTTTTGTTTATGAAATAAAATAGGAAAAAACAAATAACATTGCTTTCATTTTTACTACTTTTTAGGAAACAATGGATATTATTTCCTCCAAGTTCAAGTAATTTTCTTCAACCAACAAGAGTTCCTTATGAAGAATCAACAATATATAGTAAATACAATTTTTTTTGCCCTACTAAAGAGGATGAGGCTAATGTATTAAAGATACAAGATAAACCAAAAATAGTAACTCTGGAGCCAGGAGATGTATTATTTGTTCCTCCTGGTTGGTGGCATTATGTGGAATCATTGGATTTTACAGTCAGTGTGAATATATGGTTACCCATAGTAAGAGATAATGTATCAAGAGTTAAAGAAGCTATTGTCAAATTAATTGTAGCCAGAATTGGAAAACATATTTGTAGTACATCTGATGAAGCTAATTGTACATTATCTTATTGTATGAATTTGGTAATATATGATAGATAATATTTATTAGTAATATAAACTATATTATCTTTGTACATAAACATTGAAAATCAAAATTAATTTATTTAACAGTTGAACATTACACTTGGACAATGTAAAAACATGGACAATGTAGAATTGCCTTCTAAAAGAATGAAACATAGTACATGGACAGCTAAAGAGTTAGCAGCAGAATATCCTGTCTATGTGAATTTGCTTCATGAACTTGAAACAATGGAATTAGAAGAACTTCTAAAAATGAAGATGGAAAGATTTTCTGAAAACTGCATTGAATTTTTAAAAGGCAATACTTCTGAAACAGATATTGATGTACAGAATACTTATTCTTCTACTCAACAATTATCTGAAAATATTCTTAATGCACTATGTCATCCTGATGTTGTTAATAAAGTTGCAGAACTTTTATTACAATGTAGTGTGTAATTTTTAATGATTTTGAAAAATACATTATTTTCTACTGTTAGTCTTTATTGTTGAATTGATTACCAGTATCAAACATTTCTATTGAAAATAAACGAAATTTAAATTTATGTCTAATGCGGCGTATTCATTCAATGTTGTTATTATTCGGTATAGGTTAAGTTCGACCAGTTTGGAAAATTTTGCATCCTCTCGGTGCATATTATGTACGTAATATTGTGGCCAGTAATATTCTTAATGTAATTAACAATGGGTTTATTAACAGTACTTAAGAAACTGAAACAAAAGGAAAAAGAGATGCGCATTTTAATGTTGTACGTACTTACTTTTTCGTATCTTTTAATATTTTTAGGTTAAAAGTAGATGGCTGTCAACTATGTTGATATTTTATGTTTTTTAACAAAATTATATATTTATACTGAACAATTTGTAATTTATTTTACTGGTATTTATATTTTATATTTTACTAAGTATAATTCTTTGTATATGTTTTAAATTTTTCATATACCTTATACCTTTATAGAGGTTTGGATAATGCTGGCAAAACAACAATTTTGAAGAGAATTAATGGAGAACCAATTGATACAATATCACCAACTCTTGGTTTCAATATTAAAACTTTGGAACATCGTGGATATAAACTTAATATATGGGATGTGGGTGGTCAAAAATCATTGCGTTCTTATTGGAGAAATTATTTTGAATCTACAGATGGGCTTGTCTGGGTAATTGATAGTGCAGATAAAAGAAGATTGGAGGATTGTAAAGCAGAATTATATAAACTTTTGCAAGAAGAAAGATTAGAAGGTGCAAGCCTTTTGATACTTGCAAACAAACAAGATTTACCTGGAGCATTGTCTGCATCTGATATTGCAGAAATTTTGGAATTGCCTAGTATTAAAACGCATCATTGGAAAATTTACAAATGCTCAGCAGTAACAGGGGAAAATCTGTTGGAAGGAATAAATTGGATTGTTGATGATATTTCCGCTCGAATATTTTACATTGAGTAATACTAAAAAATTACGATTGACATTGCTAGTATTGTAATTTTTTTTTACAACATATTTATTTTCTATTTGTTAAAAGATAGAGTTGTAATATAATCGTACTTTGTTTAAATTATTAAAGTTGAAGCACTGTAATAAAGTTTAACATGCATTTTTATAATATTCTAGTTTATATGAATTCTAACAATTTTGAATTTTTCTCATTACTTTCCCTATTCTTTTCCTTTTCTTCCTTTTTCCTTCTCTTTTTTTTTACGTTTTTCTTTTCTAGCAGGCTTTTTTTCCGGCGGAGGTTTCGTATCCGGATAGTGTTTCATATAAACAGATTTTAATAGCTCTTGATCAATGGTATGACTTGTAGCAGCGAATGCAATTGTTATTTCGCGTATCAATGTTTGAGACAGTTTCAGTCGGAATTTTTTTATTAGTTCCACGAATTTCGCTGCAATATTAATCTTGTGTCAGTAAAAATAAATATATTATATCAGTTTCACGTACCTCTCGAGATGGGATCATCGGAAAGTGATAATACGAAATGACCGAAGTTTCTGCGCAGTCGTTTTTTCTTTGGCCTCATTGCCTCATAATTGGCCCTTTTCAAAAGTATGGTTTTTACATCTGGACCCTCGAGTTTGTAATTGCTAAGTATTCCTCCCAGTTTAACATCAAGCCACGGTTTTTGATCTTTAATTACTTCAAGCTTAGCTAATATCTTCTTATTAGCCCAAACATTCGTCAGATCCAAAATACGTAGTGAACTCTCGGGTGCATTTTCTGGGGTGACTGCATTAACGAGATTGAATGCACCGTTTGCTTTCAAAGGATTATTACCAATGTACAATTCCTCGAGTGTTTCATTTTTCGATAAACCTCTCGCTATGATCACTGTGTCGTCATCGATAAATCGATTTCCTGTATATAGGAAATTGAAAAATGACACAGATATTAAATTACTTTATTATTGCATTACTGAAGTACGTCGTAGAATTTAATAAAGATCCCAGAAATCTTTGTAATTTCTATATTACCATTTAAATATAACCTTTTCAACATTGAAGGACCTAACAACAATCGACGAAGATACAAAACGCATTCTTTGCCCAATGCGTTCCAAGACAAGTCTAGATCGACCAAAGTGTTATTTTCCTCGAGTCCTTTGACCAGCTTTATCCAAGTTTCCACGGTGTATAAGGAATTCCACGACAGTTCTAAACGCTTCAACTCGCTCGACTCGGAGAGCAATTTTAACAGAGCGTCGGAACAGGATTCATCGAGGTGATTATCGTTCAACGTAAGAGTCTCGATATTGTCAATCGAATTTGCGATATAATCGAGACCTTCATTACGAATATTACAATCAGAGAGATCTAACTTTCTTAATGTTGTGTTATGCAAAATTCCATCGTGTAACATCGCAGCACCTTCTGCACCGATTTTACATCCTGATAGAACTAGAGTATGTACCATGCTATTCTTCCGTAGTAGATCGCTCAGATGATAACACGCATCCGCGGATAACCAGTTACCCTATAAAACGTTCGTTGTAAACAAAAATTTTACGAATCTCCTCTTTTTGCTTTCACTATTTTATTCAAATCTCACGACTGTTAATAACTGCGTATAAATCGAAACGGTCCGTATATTCAACGTTTATAAAAATACTAAAGTATTATGTTACACGTGAACGATATTGATCTTACTGTGAGATTGATCGTGTGTACGAAAGGATTGTTCGTTAATGCTTCACAGAGTGGTCTTATAACACGCGAATCGAGTCCGTAATACTGTAAGCTGATTTTATCGGACAGTAGCATCTCTTCTAAAGCTTGTACGGGTTTTATACGGGATGCCTTCGATAAATCGAAAAATTTCTCTACACCGTCCGCCTGGAAACTGGTTCGACGTTCCTCAATGGTCCAGAAGGCCGGTACTAATCCAGGATCGTCGGGAATTGGGTACATCGTGTACAGGTTTTGCAATTTTAATTGAGAGTCGCTGATCTCTATTTCTCTTAAGCAAGGATGAATAGAGCTTTCAGAGGACGGCTCTGTGGAAGCTGTCGATGCTCCTTCTGGCGTGATCAGCGTTTCTACCGACGCATCTCGCTCCTTCTTTATCTGCAGATACCACGTTCACACGTTTTTTCTTACTTTCTACTTGACGTTTCTTTCGAACGTTAAAACGATTCAAATAGAATTACACCAATTAATCCTCGTAACATTTCTTTCTGTGCTTCCATTCTCGATGTTACTTTTTCCGCTCTTTTTTCACGAAATTGTGTCACCAGTTCCGCGAAAATGTCTATTTCCTCCGGTTCTTTCACTTTCTTCTCGTCCTCCTCCTCCTCCTCTTCCATTTCTTCTTCGTATTCATACTCCGGGATTCTCTCTTCGCTTCCGTAGTAGTCCGAGTAGTAATCCGATACGTCGGTAAGATTTTCGCTGTCGATCATCCTCTGAAATGTAAGTTTCCCGTGGCGAACGCGATTTTCAAGGATCGTAGGAACATTCGAACGTTACCTGAGTCGCTTCTGAAGGTTCCATTTTTCACTTTACGCAGGATCTATGTCTTTCTTTATCAAACAGGTTGGAAATAAGTTGTCGTTAAACGACAAGTTCACGTTCATCGAAAATTCGGTTCTCTTTTTACTGCAACTTCATTTTGCCGAACGTTCTCTCACTCTCCCTTTCTCGTTTCACTAACAATACACGTTCGAAGTATAGAAAACAGCGATTGAAATCGTTCCAGAAGTAACTGTTTCAATTACTGTAAAATCGATAGGAGAACTGATTCCAGAAACGCTTTCGAACCGATATAGAATCACTTTTACAATTTTCTTCGCGATTCCCACAAATTGCAATTTTTCCAAAATCTTTCCTACACATCATCTACTATACCAATCCTCCTAACTTCTCAAAAAAAGAATAACTCGAGTCGTTTGGTCCAATTAAAAAAAAAAAAGGTCACGATGTTCCAAACAGCGTCCGAATCTTGTTGCGATCGACTGTACACAGAATAAAGTTTCGCAGAATCGAAATCGTTACCGTAACTGTCCTCGATCTCCGGATAAGAGGATCAACTCTAACAATTTCTCTCTCTTACTCGTTTCTCCCTCTACGAGTATCGTTTCACGCAGGTGTCAGGGGCGTTCTTCATCGGTGTCCGCGAAACATCCGCGAGAGCCTGTCTTTAACCGAGGCACAGCATTCATAGGAGTTGAAACGCGTCATATTTCTCTCGGCGTCGGCTGCGGTGGTGTGGTTACAGCTCGGCGACGCTGTGCAACCTTGACTCCGCGCTTTCTCAAGGCATCCCATTTACGCCGTGACGGCGCTCTTGGACACACGCGGTTCACACGGGCCTTATTGGGCTCGGCAGCAGCCAGGCTGACTCATTTACCGGGTATTCGTCAAGTGGCTCTTCTGGGCCATTGTATTGTAATTTCGGCAGTTCGTTCATTCAACGGTTCTGTATACGCGGCTCGTGTGTGTCGTGGTCAAGATCGCCTCGATGACCGCCGATCCACGTCTCGACGCGCACGAAATTGCCCACACGGGGCCTTTGTTAATCTGAGACGCGCGTTCGATGATAATGAACAGTATTATCCTCAATGAAACGATCTATTGAAATCCGTAGGCCGGTTTGCCAGTAACGAGATCCGTTTCGAATCGTTATAACATACATATACGCGCGATTACAAATTCGGTGTACAAGTGTTGGAGGAGAGTAACTTAAGGGGACTAGGCAGTCAGAAAATCGATTTTTTTTTTGCATTTTTGGAAAGCACTATCCTTCTCGAGTAAAATGGCGTTTGGTTTATGTTAAAATTCACATTATTAAGGATTTGACGGCCAAAAAGCTCGAGCGCGCCATAAAATGTTTGTCCGCACATGCATGTCAGTCGAGGGACGTGAAGTGAGACAAAAGTTCTTCGTATTTATGAAGAGTTTATTATCTTTTTATGTGTATAAGTTTTCCACTGACTCATTCCCTGTTGTATTTAATACATTATATTACACTGAAATGTTACTGCTCCGTACGGAAAAATGGTGCGGAACAACTCACGAAAGTGAATGCCAAGCCAATCATGAAGGTTCATCAGGTAAGATGGAAGTGGATGCAATGCTCCAAATGTTTAGAAGATCCCAGGATGAGTACGGAATCAAATATAAATACTACATTGGAGATGGAGACTCCAAGACATATAAAACAATTTTGGAGTAGCAACCGTACGGCGAAGACTTTTTAATAATAAAAAAAGAATGCGTAGGACACGTACAAAGAAGAATGAGCACTCCACTGCGTAACGCGAAAAAAAATAATAAAGGTCTCGGTGGTCAAGGAAAATTGACCGATAAAGTTATTGGAGAATTATCCAAATATTATGGCAATGCCATAAGAAATAATAAAAACAATACTGAGGCAATGAAGAATGCAATTCTAGCAACTTTATACCACAAGTGTTCGACAGACGCCCACCCACAGCATCAGTTTTGTCCGGAAGGAACAGATAGCTGGCAAAAGGCAAAATCTGATAAAAAATTAAATGATTATAAACATAAACGTGCACTTCCCGAAGATGTTTTTAAAGCCATATTACCAATTTATGGAGATCTAAGCAACGAAGATTTACTTACACGTTGCATCGGCGGATACACACAAAATGCAAACGAAAGTTATAATAACCTAATCTGGAAAATAGCTCCAAAAACAGGATTTAGCGGAACAGAAATTGTTGAGATAGCAACCTACTTATCAGTTTGTATATTTAATAATGGCTTAAAACCGTTGTTATCATTTATGGCCCAACTGGACATTCAAGTTGGAAAGCGCGCAGAGGCAGCGTGCGCAGCAGAGGACGAACGGCGATCGCATGATGCTGAAGTCGACGCAAAAAGATCAAAAGAGAGCCGAATTAACAGAAGAATTGCTGAACAGCAACAAGCTGATACAGATGAAGCTTTAGAAACATCATATTACGCTGCTGGAAATTTTTAAGCGAAGTATGTAATACTTATTGTACTCAAAAGTCATTCGAAACTTTAAACGCGTTTTTCTCGAAATCATGTTTTCTCTTCATTTTGCAGTGATTGCGAAAAAACGGAGGTTCAAATCGATTTGAAAAAAATTGAGCAAATGTAAAACATGCCTAGTTAAGGACTGAACCTATTTTTAAGTTCATAAAAAGTTTTGTTTTCGCAAAAAAAAAAAAAATTAGCAGCGTTTCTGAATAAAAAAATACGTTTTTTTAGTTTTACAGCTGCCATTTTTATAATCTTCATTTGGTTTCCTTTTCAATAGGTTCAGTGCAGAATGGGGACCCTTAGAGAGAGAATTCCACAAAAAGCAGCGTTTCTGAATAAAAAAATACGTTTTTTTAGTTTTACAGCTGCCATTTTTATAATCTTGATGTGGTTTCCTTTTCAATAGGTTCAGTGCAGAATGGGGACCCTTAGAGAGAGAATTCCACAAAAAAAATTTTATAATTCCATAATTTACGGCCAGGATCACTGCAAAACCGGAGCGACTTCCGGAATAATGCATACACATTGGACTACAGTAGCATTGTTATATACATGTATATGTTACTGAAAAAAATTTTTTTTTACGCCTCATAGTACTAATAAGTAATATCTAAGAGTACAAGCTGCAATTTTAATTCCTATCCTTGTAATAAATTCCCAAAAAACGTTACATTTTTACCAAATCTGACTGCCTAGTCCCCTTAAGAGAAGACGTGCTCTGGGCACGCGGGATATTTTCATCGATGACCGTCGAAGAATTTCTTCGTATATCTCGAGAACGAGGTAAATCGGAAGGTGTTTGAAATTGTTCTAATCGAAAAAGAACAAGAAAAGTTGATTTTTACAAATTCGTTTTTTTTTCTTTAATTTTTTCGTCCATTGAGAATCCCACGCGAGAATATACGTGTAGAGAGAAACGGGGAAAAGGTTTTGCCTCTCTGTCATTATTGCATAACGAATGACGGAAGTTAACGAAGGAAATTGCATCTTCCTTCTACCCAAGTGGGAACTTTCGATTTTCAAACGTTTCAAAGCTGACAAGTCGGTGTCTCTCTGCCTTGTTCTGTTTCTCGTTCGTCGTCGAGCGTTGTGGCAGCTGCTCCCGGAAGGCACGTCTACCTACGATTCTGCGTTCCCGGTGATTTGAATGCAACTTGCGCGGACGTCGACACTCGGCCTCTCACCACGTGAGAGAATTCGTTCGGGTGCAATAAACCAGTGAAAACCAGACGGTGTCGAAGGGTTGTACTTTTTATTGAAACTTGTTCATCATCATCATCATCATCATCATCATCGTCGTCGTCGTCGTTGTGGTCGTCATCATCATCATTATCATCATCATCATCATCATTCTCATACGTCGTTGTTATCGTCATCGTCGTCGTCGTCGTTGTCATTGTAAAACTTAGGCGAAAAATATGCGGGACCGGAAGGAGGCTTAATTTTATTTACACGCACTCACTCACGCTTCCTTCGCGCTTATCTGACACGGGGCTGATCACAACGCGTGGATTATCCATTAGCTATCTAGTTCGGGGACCAGGGACATTAGTTCTTCGTATTTAGAAAAAGACAAACAAACGAAAAAAAAATAACGGAAAAGAAAAAAAGTAGGAAAAAGAAGAAAACATTTCATGGATTTACTAGATCGTCTTGGGGACAGAGAAATTATCCTATGGTATTATTTCGTAGTCTGGAACTATTGTCCGTGATCTCTCAACAAATTAATACAAGGCAATAAAATAAAAAATAATATAATATAATATAAAATAATATAATATATATATTTATATATATATTTTTTTTTCATCGCTTCTATATATTTTGTATAATAATATAGATTTCTTTATAAAATAAACTATCTGTTATAAAAAATTTCTTCCTTCCGTTTACAGCTTACGTACGCCTAATTAACGGGTTTCGTTACGGTCGTCTCTCTTATTACTCGCTTTTAAAGTCTAGTGTACGCGCTTTTCGTGCGCCCGTTCATCGCTCGAACGATACTAAAAGGAGAAAAGAAAAAAAGAAAATTGCACATCTAAAAGGGAGGGGGGGGTAGGGTAGGGTTATGGGGATATAGGTAGGAGGGCACAGGTAAGAGAGATCAAAAAGAAAAAAAAGAGAAGGGGGATCGAGGGGAGAGTATCTCTGGATCTATGTACGTGGGTCTATTTACATCATACATCGTTTCGAACACGCGAATAGCTATGCTATGTCGCTTCTTTATCGATCGTTCTTTTTTTTTTTTCTTTATAGATCGTAACTCGCGCGCCGTTCACCCTCTCTATAATATAGACACAAATACATCGTTTTCATTCTGGATTAATGAAATTTAATCGGCGAAAACTGTCTGGAGTACAACATGTTGCTGGAAAGACGTTACGAAGATCGAAGTAAGCTTAAAACACAATGTTCGACGATCGAACTACACACGTTCAATTTATTCACACTGTCACTGGTCGAGGTTCGATCGATCGATTGATTTTTCACGGGCCAAGAGGGTGTGTCACGGGCTTTGACACTATCTCACGCACTCTATGAGTATCACAATAATATCGTCCGACGGAACGACCGAAGCCTGCGTTCACGCAGATTACAAAAAGAAGAAAAAGAAAATTCGCCTACACGCTATAAATCTTGTTCTACGGTGTCCTACGGCTCTCTCAGCTTCGGAAAAAAATTGGGATTGGCTACGGATCGTAAACGCGGATACAACGTCGATGCTTAGACCTTAAGGCTGTCCAGAAAGGGACGACGGCGTTCAGAGGTGATACAGGCTTAGCGAAATTAATAAGTACGGGCTATGTACATATGTACAACGATAAAAAACAACACGGCGCTACCGACACAATTATATAGACCGTCGATTATTGTCGTGGAAAACGGCGAGGGATTATTGGTTGCAGGAAGATAGAGAACGATCGGGGAGATAATCAGCAAATCAACTCTATCAGGAATATTTCTCGCTTGTTATATTCAGTAGAATTCTATTTAAAAATGAAAATGCCACTGTCGACTCTTCTCACTTTCTCTACCCTCCTACATCTCTTCTTCTCAAATATCTGTTCTTCTTTCCTTCATGTTATTCTACGTATAGGGAGAGAAATTTCACGACGGACACGTTCTCGATAAAAGGAAAACGATCGTGTCAGTCGTTACTTAACGCCTGTTAATTACTACACTCGAGATCCTAATTCCGATATTTCTCTTCCATCATCTTCGTCGATGTCCTTTCTTCGTTTTATTCTTCTCTATCCTAGACTTCCTTCATCCTGTCACGAACATTCACAAGTCTCTTGCTCTCGTTACACATGAACCGTCAGCACTTGATGCGGTCCTGACGTCTGGCTGGTGCCTGGTTGCTGATGAGAGTACGTCGGCTCCTGTAGTCTAGGTTTGCTGTACGGCTTGTGAGGGCCCTCTTCGTACGTGAAACTGGCAGTATTATTCCTGGCCTCTGCGCTGGGCGGTTTGTAAAGCGGCGGTAGACGATGTCTACCCTCCTCGGACACCATCTCTAAACTTTCCTCCGTTGTGCCTAGAGCACCTAACGAAGTTCCAGACAGAGGTCTCACCACGGAGACTCTAGGTTCTCCCTGGTCCTGATCTTTCAGAGGATTCGCGTATCTCCTCAGGTTCTCTTCGTTCTGAAGGTTGTTCGACTTCTCATCGAGATCGCTACGATGTCGATGAAGAGACGTCTCGCTGCTGGTCGTCGCTGTTAAACTGGATCTTTGTCTGACTGTTCTGAGGTACCACAATCCACCAAACAACGCCAGCACCAGAACTGTCGCCAGAGCACCACCCAAAACGGCCACGTAGCTACCTGCGCTACCAGAATTCACGGAACTTGGCTCGCTGAGCAAGGCCGTCTCTACCTTGACCTCCAGTACGGAGGCCAGGGCGAGTGGTCTGCCCAGAGGTCGACTGAGAGCTTCACCCAGGTCTCTAGCTGCATCTGCGGCCGCTTCTGAGAAGATGGTCACTTCGACCGTATCGTTATCTCCAGGTTTAAGATCACAGAGAAGAACAATTGATTGTGGCCTTCTAGGATCAGCTAGCAGCCTTCTCAGACGTCTGCAGAGTATTTCCACGGATGTTCCAGCAGCTAGAGTGTCTCTTCTCAACAGAATGGTGAGCCTTGAGCAAGTTGGTCCTGGAGTGGCCTGCCCAGGCCAACACGAAGGTGGTGCAGGAAGTGCAGGTGGTCCAACTCTTCTTCCTGTCTCCACAGGTCTACATTCTCCCCAAGCTGGACACGGAGGAGCTAAACAGCTTTCACTCGGACTGGGTACGCAGACTTCGTGAGCCAGACACGAGGTTCCGTTCAAACAGTTCCCTGGACCACACCAGATGTTGCTGCACTGATTCTTCCCGTTGCGACATTCACAGACGTTGCAGTCGTCGTCCCAACCGGCGACCGGGCAGCCTGGTCCACCTGCGGTGCGTATTTCACAGCGTATCCCTGTTCTTCCCGGAGGACAGACGCAGGAGTATCTTGCTATACCGTCTACACAGGTGGATCCACCTGTGCAAGGGTCACTGGCACATTCGTTGACGTTTATACGACAGTCTGGACCGGTGAAACCTGGTGCACACTCGCATCTGAACCAGTTGATCCCGTCTACGCATTTACCGCCGTTCAGACAGGGTAACGGTTGGCAGTCGTCCACGTCTCGTCGGCAATTAGGACCCTCGAAACCTTCTCGACAGACGCATCTGTAGTTTCCATCGGCGGTATTCACACAGGTTGCTCCGTTTTCACAGGGGCTGCTCGCGCAGGCTGGAGACGCTATGTGACAAGCTGCTCCTTCCCATCCTGGAGGACAGTGGCAAGTGAAACCGTCGCCACGATCCTGGCAGGTTCCTCCGTGACGACAGGTTCCTGGTTCGCAGTGGCCAGCTCGTAGGGCGCAAGTTTTGCCCTTCCAGCCGCCTCTGCAGATGCAGGTGAAGTCTGCAACCCCGTCTACACAGGTGCCATTGTTGCGACAAGGTGCGTTGGTACACTCATCTACGTCTGAAAAATAACGTTGAAATAATTGAATTTCGTCTTGTCTTTGTGATATCCTTCAAAATTCTCCAAGCATACGATCCTCACAAAATAGTCTCTAAATTCGTATACCGTATCTAACGTAATTGTAACTCACCTTGATCACACAGGTCTCCAGTCCAGCCTTCCCTGCAGATACACTGGAACGAATTCACCAGATCGACGCACGTGCCGCCATTCAGACACGGGTTTCCTCTGCAATCATTGATGTTCTCGTGGCAGTGCATCCCAGTGTAGCCAGGATCACAGATGCATCTTCCCCCGCTGCATCTGCCTCTGCCGCCACATGGCGTGCCCTCGCTACCACAGCCACTCTCCTCGTCCATCACGCCTAACTGCGGGTTGTGAGAGGCTGGTTCCGAACAATTCTTCCCCTGCCATTGTTCCGGGCAGTGACAATAGTAGTCGGTCTGCGTGTTGAAACAGGGCGCGGAGTTTCTGCATGGATTCGGGCTGCAGTGATCCCTGTCGATTTCACATTGGTAGCCGGTGAAGCCTACAGGGCAGACGCATTCGTAGGCGTTCACCAGGTCTCGACATTCTCCACCGTTCTGACAGGGCTTCGAGGCGCACTCGTCGATGTCCACGTCGCAGTCTTTGCCAGAGTAGCCAGCTGTGCAGCTGCAGTGATAGTCGTCGACCAGGTCGATGCATAGTGCACCGTGCTGGCATTGGCCGACGCAGTCGTTGATGTTCTTCGTGCAGTTCTTCCCCGTGAAACCGCTCCTGCAGCGACACCTGAAGAATAATCATTACGGTCAGGCTAGCTACGAAAGATGTAATTATTAAGATCGCTCGTGTACTACTTGGACATTCTAAATTGTCGTTTCTCTTTTTTAACTCACCTGTAATCGCCGGCAAGGTTCACGCAGGTCACCGAGTTCTTGCACGGCGACTCCTTCAGCGCGCACTCGTCCACGTCGAACTGACAAAGCACCCCTTGCCAGGCTGGTGGACAGTTGCACACGAACTCGTTCTTCCCGTCGACACAGGTGCCACCGTTTTGACAAGGTTGAGAGGCACACTCGTCGATGTCGGTGGCGCAATAAGGACCGGTGAATCCAGGAGCGCACTCGCAGTGTGCACTCTCACCGAGTTCCCTGCAGGTAGCGCCGTTCGAGCAGGGATTGGAGGCGCAGGGGTTGTCGACTTTCTCGCAGGTCGGTCCCGAGAATCCTTCGGGACAGGTGCACTTGTATTGATCCGGCGCTGTATTCTCGCACGTCCCACCATTCTGACAGGGCTCGTGCGTCCCGCAATAATTGAGATCCTGGTCGCAGAGGATGCCGCCCCAGTTCGTGTCGCAGATGCACTGCCAACTGGAACCGTTGCAGTAGCCGTGCTTGCAACCTGGATACGGTGTGCACTGATCGCAGAGCTCACCGCGCCAACCGTGTCGACACTTGCACTCGCCGCTTACGTTGCAGTGACCGTGCACGGGATGGCAACCCTCTTTGCAGACCGCTGAAACAGGTTAGCAATCGGTTAGTTTGGCTATTTACACGAGATAGATCTTGTCTGTGAAAGTAGGTATAATATAGTCCGATTGATGTGGAAAATTTTTTTTAAAAAAGGCTTCGTGCCTATAGATACGATGAAAAACTATTTGTTAAATTATCGATAATTTCAAAATTTCTATTCTAACTACCTATCGGTCAACGTTCTAAGCATTCTTCGATCCATATGAAAACGCGCATTCCTTTCTCACAGGGTTCGCGAAAAAATCTTCAATTTCCATGGCACAATCCACTAGCACACCGCGAAGCTATTTCATTTCCATCCGTTCGTTTGCTTTGCTCTTTCCAACGCGGGTCCCCTCGGAGTCCCAATAACGTAGAAAGAAGAAGAGCCACCGGCGGTCATAATTCAAGTGACTTTCCAAAGGAATAATCTCGCCGCGGCGAACAATAACCGGCGCGCCGTAGCGCGGCGCACAAAAGGCATCCCCGTGAATGGAAGTTAAAACACAAACGATTAATCCGCCCACGAACCACCGGGGCATAAGTGTCGGATTATTTTCCGCGGTCGCGTTCACCGCCGGATTATACGATCACCGACGTTTCGTATATCTCGAACGGGAGAGCGGTGGTATCCTTCTTCCATCCTAAGAAGATAGCGAAGCAGTGGGAAAAGGAGGAGACGACGAGGGAGGAGGAGGAAGGTAACAGGTCTGCCTTCTTTCTTACAGGTGGCAGGATGACGAAATCCAATTTCGTCCACGGCCGTGGTACACGAGAAGGTGCCGTATCCCTGGAAACGACACTTTCGACCGTGGCCGGTGTGTGACGGTGAAACGGAGACGGGAGAAAATGAAACGTGACAGAGATCCGTGGCCGGGGCCGGAGCAACTCAATTAGCCGGGGGGACAGAAAGACGGATGAGAAGTGACAGAGAGAAGGATTATCCTTCTGACCGTGAAACGAAAACTCACGCCGCGGCGACACGCGTGCACACACACGTATAAGTACATCCCTGTGACTTTTAAACCGACGTGTACCGACTCTTTACCGTTACACATCGTGGCCCCTCGAACCGAACGAAGGAAGGAATCGCGTTCTCCAGCGGGTTCCACGGAGAAGAGAGTAAGTACTTACTTGGGGCCGATTCGATGAGTTTGATTGGGGTTCTATGGGGATTTTTTTTTTTTCTGAGGAAGATGGATGGATTGTTTAGAATGTTGGACAGTGAGGTTTCATCATTCACAATGTACCTTATATCGTTATTTTTACAATTTTGCAGAATTTTTTAGCAACTTTGATTAAAAATATTTGTAGAAGTGTCTATTTCAATGATAATAATAATACGCTTTTAACAAGTTACAATTATAACGAGAAGTTGACGATCCGACTTGAACAAGGTACACAACAACGGTGTTATTAAACCAAACCTCCGAAATTTAAATATAACTCACTCACCGGTTGACAATATGTTAATAGCAATACACCTTTTCATGCATCAAACTGACCATTATCTCTAATAATATATTACCATGCACAACGGAAATTCATTTATTTCTTTCATTAAAAAGTTAATGATTTTTCAGTGAAACCCTGTAATCTCGAGCCTACTTCCTCGACTACCGTTCACCGAGAGGGTCCCCCTTTTAACCAACACTTCTCGCCTCGATCGGCGAAGCCTGCTGTCAACCGGTGTCCGCTTGAATCTAGGACACCTTACGCTTCCACACGGCTAACAGCCGACTATTTTTCAACCTTAACCACAGGGTACACCAATCACGGTGTACAGCTGCATATTTTAACCTGACCAACACGCTCGTATACACACACAAATCTTCCTACCCAACACCGTGTACCGAACGCATACAATCAACCGGGATCTTTAATGATTAATGGTCGAGCTTTCTCGTTCGCGCGCGGACAACGAACGCTTATGGATATTTATGCGACTGCAGCGTGACGTTCGTGGTCGTGCACGTAACGATCCCCTCCTTCAGAAGGTTTTCTTGCATCCGCTCGATCGATCCACGGCCTATCCGGTTTCCAATTGTTGCGTGGAAGATGGGAACGCGGAGATTTCCCTCGCGGCCAGGGGCAATTACCGCGCAGAAATCGGGGGAAGCCCGATCAACGGTGGTTAGACGAAGCCCCCTATTTTTTCTTCTCTCCATCGGCAGAAGCAACAGGTGCCCTCTATAGAGAGAGAATGAGAGAGAGAGAGAGAGACGGGAAATAACCTCTCACAGACGAGAACTGCTCGGGACGCTTTCGTGACCGGCGATTCGCGCTTCGTTTAGAGAAGTCAATTACCAGACAGGCTGAGATCTGGCCTGAGGATCGATCGGGTGGCAGGTACCGAGCGCTAATTGCGCTCGTCTACGCGTGAAATCGAGCAAATCGACCGCGCGAGATGCGCGACCACTCAACGCTACTGCACGTTTTCTCTGGATGGGTTTTATGGATGAAAACATGGCGGATAAGATGGCCTTAATGGACGGTGATTCTGAGAATCGAGGAGGTCATTGGTGGATGTGGTACAGGAGGGAATAAATTCTCGATAATGTCCGTGTGATTTTTCTAGAATACGAAGTTAATTGTGGAATAAAATATCGTTGATTTCTTCTTGTAAAATTAATAAACTTTCACTAGATTTCTTTGGTGGAAGGTTTTTCAGCGGCGCCTGTGAAACAGGCAACCCGTATCCATTGTCTGTCTATTGTACATTTGAAAAACTAACTTACGTTTATTCCTGCTATCTACAGAAACGCAAAGTGAAAGTTCCGTAATTTATCGTGTGGACGAATGGTAAAAAGTCACGGTACCAAAAACACACACACACACACACACACACATAGTTGTGTAGAAGTTCAACACTACCGGTGGAATAATCGTGAAATTTTGGCGAATTTCGTTAGATCGTTCGTACGCGGACCAATTAACAGTGCTTTCACCGTGGCTATCTCTTCCAAAGTACAACGTTTCGCGTGTAGAATCGTCGACATTAACAACACTTCGCGTACAGTACCGTTTCTCTCTCGTTTGTTCAGGATCTATAAATCTAGCCGGGAACGTCTACAGTTACACGTCTATGGAATTTTTTTTGCTAATCCACCGGCAGTAGGCGAATTAACCCGTGCAATTCATCTTCGTATACCGCGCGGCTTCTTTATTTTCTTATTCCTCTCCCCCCCTCCCCCTCTCCTTTGATCTGGTGAACGGAACAGATGCGCGAAGAATCGGATTACAGGTGAAGGTTCACGACTTTCACGTGCACACCGCTCTAACCGTTTACCTTTGCCACGGGACGAGCACCGATAATCTCTCCATAGGAGAGACCAACGTCTAACTTATCTTGCGCCATTAGCTGTAATATTCTACGATTTATCAACTTGGAAAATAGGTAAAACTGTTCACATCCATTTTTCCAAAAACATTTTCATCGCAAACTCAGTTACTTTTAACCGTTTCGAATTTTTATTTCGCCGAAAGAGACAACGCAAGAGGCAATAACGATAATTAGAGTGAAATATGAGAATATTATATCTACTAAAGACAAAAAGTAATTCAAATAATAACTCTCGACCTGGAAATTTTCATAGAAATTTGTAGAACGAATCGAAAAGCCTACAAATCGTTGGAACCACGTGAAATCTCTCCCACTCTAAACGTTGTTAACGTTTTTCCCAATAGCATCGATTCTCGTAAAAGAGCAAAGTAGACGATTTTACGATCACGGTTCGCGGTGGAAAGGGGTCAAATGCAAATAAACGTTGCGAGTGCCGCGTCCAGAAATACGCCGTGCTCTCTCGAACGAGGAACGGTGTGTTGCATGATGCGGTCGGTGCATAGAGCTCGTGTGAAGACGATGCACGAGTGAAATTCTCGTATTGACCTTTCACAGCGCGACAAAAATGCCGGAGTCAGTTCTCTATCTCTCTCTCACTCGCTCGCTCGCTCTCTTTGCTTCGTCTCTCCTAACCGACCGACTGGCTCGTCGTCTCACGAGTACACGATTTCCACCGATAGTCCCTAATTGGGATCGTTTGTCCTTTCCTATTTTCCCTAGCGTTCGACGAAAGTGGAACGTGTTTAATTGTGATACCGATAATATGATCCTGCTGCATCGTTAACCCTTTTAATCCCGTCGACCGATTTGGACCGATTCGATTCGCACTCGGAATTTTTCCACCCGATATCCAGTTAGGATATGGAACATTTCTAGGTACTGTGAATTTCATCTAAATGTCTCGAAAAATGTACAGCGGTATTTCTAACTTCTAGCAAACTTTTAACATCAGGGCGTTTTATGAGAAAAAGGGTTAAATCGTAGCAGGAAAATTTTGATATTAAAAAAGGACGTGACTTCATCGAGAAATTTTTCTCTATTCACTCGTGATACACTGTGCAACAATTTTATCTTTGTACACTAATGCACGAAGTTACTAATTTACTAAACTAATTTACCCCGTTTCTAATGATAATAATGATGACACTAACGTCGAGATATCTTTATTTACGTAATATTGCGTAACAAATTCAACGATTTTCCAGTTCTGGAATTTCTTTTAGGGTTAGATTAGGTTTAGCTTGTAAGTGGTTAGACTAGTTCGAGAATTTTTCTAATCTTGGAAAGTTGTACTTAATTAACCCGGGTGTAACGAAGTCGAACGCAGATAAATTCATCGAGCAAGAAAAGTATTAAACTGCGGCATTAAAGTAAACGAGAAAATCTTAAAGTTCACAGTGTCAAGGGAAACTGGCTGCGTCCTCGTCGCAGACGTACATTTTCCTTTTAAACCTACCGCGGAGGAATTCGCGAATCGCGGTTTTTTCTTCTTTTCTTTTCTCAAAAACTCACAAGCAGCTCCGATTGCCCTCGAACCGCAAATCGGGACACTTCGGTTTCACACGATATCACCGTGGTTGCTAATTACTATACCGCAGAGGAGTTTAATACCGGCTCGTCCTACTTTCTCTGGCTCGTTTTCAACTTATCCAGACGGTTTTACGAGTTTTCGAAAAATACCGCACACCTATTGTCGCTATTCTGCCCTCGACGATCTACAATCGATAGCAATCATTGCATACGAATAGAGAAGAAAAAAAATCGAAGACCACAGTAGAGATACTTGAAACGAGGTAAGTAAACATCGTAAATAATCTGTTCACGTAACGGGGAATAATTAGGTCTGGTGGAATTCGAAGGACAATTATGAAGGATAAAAACTTGATTGAACAGCTATTATTAAGATCGCTACTCTAATTAAAAACTTTTTATTCCATCTTATGGAAATCTCTATTCCCAGCGATTTAATCGAATCTATTATAACACTTAGGTCATCGGAATACAATTTTTTTAAATACAAAATCGAGCAGAGAATTGAAATTTTTCAATCTCTAAGATCCAAATTTGTATCGCGTGATACAATTGAAACATGATTTATTTCATTTGGTTGATCGTTGGAGTACGGTGTTTTCTCGATCGACTTGTTCGATTAGAAATGGTTCGAGCGTTCGTATTGTCGGGATCTTTCGAAATTGACGATGTTTAAGAAGGAGGGATAAGACGCAATACTACGAGTCGGATGAGTCGCTTACACGGGGAGGCGGAAGTAACGATTAAGCAGCGAAGAAAGAGCTGGCATATTAGTCGGGCCAGCATTGTGCGAGGGGATCTGGCGTGATGCTGCTGCTACCTTTATACGATCGTACGACATGCGTCTAACGTCCGCCCATTGAGGCACGCTTCGAGATAATTCGTGTGTTTCACTGTGCCGCGTGTTTGCGTCTTCGCTCACCAGACACCCGGGTGACTCGCGCTTTCTGCTTGTTGAAAGCTCCACGTGGAACGATCTCCCCCGAAATAGTCAAATTTTTATCTAATTCAATTTTCATTCGTTTATCGATCCTTTCAAGCAACGAAATTTGTACATTTTTGGGATTTTGAAAATTCTTCCTACGTTTTGAGTGAATTGTTCGCGTTCTATCGATAAATTTTAGTTATGTGCGTTTCACCCCTTAACCTATGATTTCTTTTCTGACTGTGCATCTAAGCGTCAGCCATTTTCTGTTTCAATACTGTATCAGGTAACAAGAGATAATTTTTCACAGATTAATTACACTTAGTAATCCTCAGTCATGCAAATTAAAACGAAAGATAGGATTACAATGAATTTTTCTTACTAATGTAACTATTTTTGTCGCATCTTGACCAAAATTTCCGAAACGAGTCTGACACGTTGTCATATGTTAAGGGGTTAAGGATCATTTTTAAGTTTTGTTCACTAAAATGGGGTGAAAGATAAATACTCGGAAGAATGAAATTTTTTGATTAACGAAAGACTTTAATATATTAAAAAATTAAAAAATAATATTTTGGTAACTGAAAAATTTTCGTTTCAATTTTTAGTATTCAAAATGGCGAACGTTCTTGGAGTAACAGAGGAGTGATTGAGACGAACGAATGAAATTTTTCGTTTCTCGCATAAATTACATAGTTAAGTGTTACATCTTAAGAGATCAAGCGAAGTCCATTTCGAGTTGAAGCATTGCACTTACGGTCATCTTGAAGTTGAAGCATGCAAACGACCATCGTCGACATATATTTTACCCATGGAACGAACATCCGGCAGATTTTCGCTTTCCCTTCGCAGTTTGACGCGCTTGACAAGACTCCTGAGAAACGTACGATCCTCGCGTTGCTAGATACATATCCCCCTGGCATTTATAGTCGGAGAGAGAGAGGCATAATTGTTTTTCGGCTTCGAATAAGCTGTGCATCGAAATGGTCAGTTTTCTCTGGTTTATTTATTGCAAAGAGGCGGCGGAGGTACGTGTCTAATTAATCAAACGTAATAGCACTCGTGGAAGTCGGGGAAAAGTTGCTTGCGTTCGAGTCGCGACAGTATCTTTAATTTACCGCCATATTGAATCTTAGAGTCCTTTTAGATCCACTTCATCTTATACACACTCTGCTTATGCGGTAACAAAAAATGTAAAAATGAGATTATTGAGAAAATTTGAGAAACCGAGTATGTACTCAATTTAGTGATTTTTTAATTAAGTAATTAATCGCGAAAAATTGTATTTTCAAAGGGGAAAACAGCGTTTCACTTGGAAAATATCTGATTTTCAATGTTTCAAACTTGATTCTGCCAATTGCTCCCCACCGCCATTGAAATAATATCGTCAATTGAAGTCAAACGTGTTCTACGCTTCTCATTACAGCCAGTCGACTAATCGCATATATTTTTTACCCGGCGGGAACAAAAAGGAGAACAAAAAGAACGATGTTCTCGTTAAAAATTCGAATCGATCGATTCATGGTGGCTCGTTAGCTTCAGAGGCAACCGTCCGTGAGAAAAGCGAGCGCGAGTCGCGCGCTCGCGCGACTACGTGCGACGCGAGATTTCACGCTTCGAGGATCGATTAATTATTCCCCCGGTCAGCCGAGGCGAGCAAAAAACCTGAGGAATCGTTTAGCCGCCAATATACCTGTAAAGGCCTTGCGCGACGCTTCGTTGCATACGTAACGAGATCGCAGCTACGACAAAAGCGTGTTGCTGCTTCGTCGTTTCACGTTCGGTTTTTTGCCGTGATTCCCATTTTTACAGCACCGTATCCTCTCTTCTTCTTTTTTTCTTATCCCTCCCCTCACCCTTTGCTCACCCCTCGATCGTGCATCGTTCCGCTTCGTTCGCGAGAGATACGCTCCGTCCTTCGTGGAGCGTTTTAATGCTTCCGGTATTAAGGATCAACGGCGTTTCGTTCGATAATTTAATGAGCAGGATTTACGACGGTGGTAGTTTTTCTTTCTGCTCTCTTCTCATCGATAATAGAGGAAGAATACTCAATTATCGGAAGATTCGATTTGTTTCGAATGCTGGTTGTTTAATATGCATTGTTTAGTATGGATTTGGAGTAAGTCGATTTACGTAACGCGGTGTTTACCTATTCCCATTGGTAGACGATAAACTGTGTCGATTATGTGTGTTGTAAAAAACAGGAGGAAAAAATTCTTGCCTTTCGTGATGGAAGATTAATGTAATTAATGGAAGGTGTATTTAACTTTTTAGTATTAGATTCGTGTCTAACACGTGTAACGTGGAAGACATGACTGATTTTCTCACAGTTAGCGTGAGAGGAAATTATAGCAAGTTGTCGCAGGTGTACAGAGTGTAGAAAAAGTGTATGCAAATTTTTAGTTGCTTTCTTCTATTTCAATTTGATCGAAAGAATACAGTGATTAAGAATGCAGTGCATTTTAAAAAATTTTCATACTTGATATTACAGATTATAAAAAATTGGCCGTTTTATTGTAACGCGAAAGGGAGAATTATGTAAAAGGGTGCGAATAAAATGGTAAAATGGACTCACCAATTTCGCAGTCAGATCCCTTCCACCCTTGTATGCACACCTTGTCGCCGTTCTCGTCGCAGGTGTAATGGCCGAATATGTCGTTCCTCGGCCGGCAGAACTTCGTGCAGGTCGCGTTGTAATAATGGTCCGCGCACTGGACCCGAACGCGATAGGCTAGATGAGCGTTTCTTCCTTGATGATTGAGAGTGTGCCACGTGGGTCCTGGCAGGACAATGCCGCTGTAACTCGCTTCATCGATCACGCCTGCGCTAGCTTCGTCTCTCGCTTGCAGGATCAGCGTGAATTGCCTCTGCGAACCAGAAAAATCCGATAATGAAGCTGGGAACCTCTCAATTACCAGAACCGTACAGATTTCTTAAAAATAATTCTGGATCCTTCATTTTGCTCCACGAACATCCGAGAGTTCAAGTTGGAAATATGGAACTGCGAATACTCGATAATTTGAAACTTTGAGAGTTTTAAACTCTGGAAATCTGAAAATTTGAATATTTGCAATTGTGAAATTTTTAATATTTGAGAATTATAAAATTTGGAAATTTCAGTGTTTGAGAATTACAAAATTTGAATATTTGAGAATTTGAATATTTGAAAATTTGAACATCTAGGAATTTGCATATCTGAGAATTTGAAAGCTTGAAAGTTTGAAATTTCGAAAGTTCAGAAGTCCGAAAACTGTGCCTCCAAATATTTCCAAGCACTTTCAATTCAACCGGGTAGCAGAATTTTATGGAAGACGTTAAACGCTGCATGACCAGCACACACGAGCCTAGAATTGACGTGTTCCGGCAAACGCGAATCGAATACGGAACGGTGACATCATATGCGTCTAGGGCTGCATCGAAAGAGGAAGAGAGGTGGTTTGATGAAGCCAGCAATTAACCCTTGCCCAGCTTGAATAATTCCTCGGCCTGGCGTGGCCCCTAAGTGGAACCTTCCGAGATGTACTTTTGCAAATTTACACAGGGCTTCCCGACCCTCGAGGGCGTCCCGTATTACGCCACAATAGGATTATCAATTTTCGCTTCCGCTTGCCACCTCTGGATACGAAAATAAAATAAAACCCCCGGTCGGACATACATCCCGTCCAAATCGTAAATTCTATAAAATCAACGATAACACGATTATCAATCTCGCAGTTTACAATTTACAGTGCTTGATTACCTAACACCACGTGAGTTCCATCAATATTTTTCGATCGCCGTCAGACCGTCAACGAAAGATTAAACGCAACGTTCAATCATCCCTCCGCCATCGTATCGGGACACCTTCTAGGCTCATCGATAATCCGGTGAAAAAGTAGCCGAGCTACTCGACCGGACGTTCGACCACCATGGAGGCAAACAGAACCATATAGAAGGTAAAACAAATGTCCCATCAAAAGTGTGGCCACCGTGTCTCTAATAATTACCGATCCACGGTGCAATCGAAGAACCTTAGTGAATTTTTCACCTGTAAAACACCGTTGCATATACAATACGCAACCTAACCTAACCTAACTACACGTCACAAATCAGAATAATTACACCGGTAGAACTACGCACAAGTTTCGTCGTTGTATCGTTCAACGACGAACCTGACTTGTGTACCACCAATCAAGGACCGTGAGTGACGGTCGGCTAATGCAATAAATAAATTCCAATCGTGCTGTCGCGGAAGACAGCGGCTATCTGTTCGTCCCAGAAGCATAGAACAGTTGGATGCAGCTTGGTGCAGAGAGAGAGAGAGAGAGAGAGAGAGTGGTAGAGATGCGAAGAAGCAATGGACTCCCAAAGGGGGTGTCCAGGAATCGTCCTGGACTATAGTAAAGCTGGAAGTGTTCCCGATGGAAAGAAAACCGGTCCCGGTTGGAAAAAAAGATCGGCGCATCGGTGATCTCGCGTGCTCAGTCGTGTGTGAGCGCGCTGGTTTAATGAACTCTCCTGGTGGATCCTCTCGCTGGTAGACAATGAGAGGAGAAGGAGTTGGTCGTGGCTGGGCCTCTCGACTTTTTAATTAGAACCGCAGGTGTTTCGCGTGATCAGTCAGCCCTACAACATCGGGGGATGCCGTGGTTTGTTCAGCAAAGGAACCCGGTGGAAAGTGAAAAATAACCTGCTTGTACCTTCTTATTGAAACTGGCTGATAATAAATGATCCTCTATAATACAGGGTGTTTCGGAATTTTTTCGTACCGTGGTGAATCTACGTGAAAACTTGGAGTAATGTTTTTTCATACGAATCTTCATTTCTGAATAAATCGACGCTGAAGATTTTTAGTACGCGTGCACTTGCACATAACCTCAATTTCTTCTGCGTCTGGGGATTTATTCGAAAATGAAGCTTCGTATGAAGAAATGTTACTCCAAATTTTCGACTTACTTTTTTATGTTAAGAGACAAATGGCTGTTGTTTCAATATGGTTCATTCAGTAAATCTCACAATTTACCTATTTTTCGACACATTCTTCTGTTATAATTGTACACTTGTCCCATCAATCTACTAGTTTCTTTGTGCCAGTGGTGAAGAATTCTTTGTCTTCATGTCTGAGCCAGTTTTGGACATTTGTCTTCACTTCTTCGTTGCTATGAAACTTGATTCCGCAAAAGGAGAGGTAAATATAAGAAATCTAACGGGGCGAGATCTAAACCTACAAGGTGGATGTGGAATTTTATCATTGTTTTGTATGCACATTAAAATAGTTTAAAAAAAACAGCTACTTTAAATTGACGACAGTATCCTACTTCTTTCTTCGATATTTTTTTAACTATAGTTCTTTGAACGATCCTCGTAAATTCACCTCTTTTCAGCTTGAACTTTCTTTCAATTCTGAGACACCCAGTAGAAATTTCTCGTGCATTTCGACGATCCACCCTCTTGTTCATCTCAAGATGTTTCTCCTCTGTTTCTTCTTCTTTTTTTCCCCCTTTCTTCTTACCTCTTCCTCGTGCACCCGCCTTCGATTAGCGAACTGGTCTAACGCGTCGCGGGGTTCCACACGGGAAAGAAGCGTTCCGCGTCACGATACATGTGGGAACCTCGTTGTTTCCCGGTTGATCGATTCCTTTTCTGCCACGGCCCCGTCCAACACGCTCGGCTAACTGCCCGATCGTGACCGGACTGTCGATCGTCGAATTAGCGAAAACATTCTCCCCCGCTGGCAACCCAAATGCTTAGATAACGCGGCTAATGTCGCGGGACTTTTTCTCAACCGCGAATCGCTTCCTAAAGCGGCGCGACACTTCTACCATTGGAAACGGCAGTTTTTGCCAAGAGGACAGGACCGTTTTGGTACGGAACGATCGTGGAACCTGTTTGGTGATTCCCGGTGATTTTCAGGCACCCACGAAGGTAAGCCTTTGACGGGAATTCCGCGTCGATGTTTTTCGAGAAATAGGCCGACACGGTTTGAGGATTTGGAGGGAAACGATCGTGGGATCTGTTTGGCGATTCTCGGCCGATAGATCTTTCCAGTGAATTCTGCTTCGATGGTGTATTTTTTTCACGATATCGATTGGTAGGATTTAAGGAAGAACGCGTGTCGTTGCGAAGATAATTGCTGCCGAGTGTCGTAAAACGGGTGGGATAAAAAACGTGACAGAGTGTAATTTAGTTTTATTTATGTAGATGAACTTGTGTATTTTGTGTCAAGCAGGATTTGATACAATAGTAAATACTGTTCTTTTGTATTTTAATGCAATTTCACATCGTTCTCTGTACACTTTGCACGACAAAAATGATGTTTCGTTGAGCTTAGATAATTGAGTGAAAGGCGCAGCCCCAAGATTCACGTATGAGCTAACCTGTAAGTGCTACAAAGTACGAATGAAAATGGAATAAAAGTAGAGTGTGACAAAATGAAAGGAGGCTAATTAGTTAGAAAAGAGAGAGAGATAATTTCGTAGTATTTTTGAATCGTTCCAAGTCACCGAACTTCTCTAATCCCATTTTGACTTGGAGCAAAAAAGAACACTGAAATACTACTCGAATGCAAAGAACCAAAGAAAAAAAAAGACCCCGATAGCAAGAAAGTCTCTCGTTGAAAATGCACAAGATGATAACAAAGAAGGCTGCATTTCCCCTTGTATGAGCAGTCCCGATCCATTTTTCCCGACCTTTCGCGGAAGTGCAAAATTCCCCCGGGGGCCGACCTGGCCGACACAAAGAGCTTCGTTGTGGCCAATCCGCGG